GCTAACAGGAAAGGACAATTTACATAAAAGTACTCTACAATACTAAAGGCGGACATTGTATAAAAATCCACGATAAGTCGGTTCGAAGAGAACAAGAATCTTGCAACATACCGCTTTTTTTTCTTACTAACATTGATGCGCTTAACAACGAAGGTCAAATACCATCTCAAGACACCACACTAAATCTAAATGATTTTTGTACATATCGGATACCAGGGGCGTACCGAGGTAGGGAGGCAGAGTGGCTTTTTTAATCGACACAATGTATTTTGGAGGATGATGTCAGCAACTAACAAATTTCAGGTAATTTTTTTCTGTAAGGCAATTTCGTAGTAAACCCAAACAAGGCCTGCCTCACAACGGCCTTTTGCCATCTTTTGTAGAAAGCTTATGGGTATTTTCCAGGATGCAATATTTGGGTGCATTTTCTGACCATCCCTAGCACGGCCTTCTCTGAACTCCTGCACGGTCTTACCGCCCCCTTCCTACTCCAAACCTTCCTCAGTAATGACGTCCCTGGCTTTTATTGTTGTGCAGTATGGTGATACAGCCGCTACAGCAATACTACAAAATACTGTTAGATTTTACAAAAATTAGCATTCTCTATTTGAAGTACTGGTAGAGAATCTACAGCGTCTTGTCAGTAATTGACTAGGCCTCTCCTCTCATTCGGAAGTCTTAGGGCATGCCACAGATTGAAAGATTACAGTGCTAGGTTTAGATCAGCGTGCTTCCGAACTCTTTTACCTTTCGGCATATTTCCGAAATTTTGAAGGAAAATTTAAGATGGCTAAATGAGGGGCACCATGTTGACTCTTTGAATGCCCCGCCCACCCCTCTCCCTGCGATCTCATCCCCAGCAGGCCACTGACCAACATTATCATAAAAAACAGCAACAGAACAACAACAACGACTATAACAACAACAACATCACAAAAAAGCAGCCAAAAGAGTTCTAATTTTATGACGTCTTCATTCTAATGAAGACGTCATAAAATCTTTTATAACAAATTTTGAATTTAGATTCCCAAACCTGAAAGAGTACGATGGAATATTTCTTATAGAATTTTAACCACATAACATAAAAAAATTACCATGAAATACTTCAAATGGTGCAAAATCAGTCAAATGATTTACGATTTGGCTGAGATATGGCCAAATTTATACTGGCTCTTTCCCAACTTTAAAAACCGAGCCCAAATATGAGTGGTTCTTGATTCTTTAGCAGAGTGGTTCTTTAGCAAACTTAAAATTTTTGATTAGCAATATCTCAACCAATTTTAGACAAATTTGACTGATTTTGCATATTTGGAAGTACTAGGTGGGGATTTTTATGTTACATAGTTAAAATTCCAATATTCTAGAAATAGGATTTTGGTGACATCACATTTTAAAACTCTATAAAAATAAAAGAAACAAAACGGCCTCTGAACAGTAAAATGTGTAATTGCCAACTGTGTAAACTTACGTATGACGTAAAGGTCAAACGTGCAGGATGCAGAGTTGCCAGAAGCATCGCTTGCAACGTAAGTAACAATGTAATCTCCCCAAGCCATGAAAGATCCGGAGCGATGAGAAGCTCTGATGGTAGCAACCACTTTATTGTCACTGAATATAGGCTCTGTCCATGTCACAACGGAAACTCTGTTTGGTGTTACCACTTGGGTTACATTTGGGCACCTGGAGACCTTTGGTGGCTCCTTGTCTAAAAAGACAAATTAAATTTCATTGTCGGGAAGTTATTCATCGCTGTATTGTTACTAAATCGGTTTAAGCAGGAACTTAGAGACAGCTTAGAGACTGAGAGAACCTTCGTGCAATGTAGATAAAAAAACCAAACGTTCGTCAACGAGATAAGTGAAACACAATCTACGTTTAATTTCTGCTTGTTATCCATCTTATTTATGCTTGTTTATGCTTGTTGATTGCTTGCAGTTCTAGTATTAGAGTTTGTTTCTGTTCATGTTGCGTGACTTCCTTTTTTGGTGCTACGAGTCTTCAAGTTAATCAAGAAATTCCATAAATACTCCTCAGTTGTGGAGATTACAAACTTTAATTTCCCACAGTGTATCTTGGTAATAAGAAGTTAAGCCTATTTTATTTTTGCACATGGGAAGACTAGACAGCATCATAGAAGCATGAGAACGTGATTTTCTATCTATCAATTAAATTCTATACACAAATATTTAAAAACAGAACCCAAATGATTTATAATTCAGCATAATTTCAACTGTCGTCATCAAACGGCTTAAAATTTGTGTCGAAGCAAAGAAAATTACTTGATTTTTCAACTTTGGAAATGAGTACATTCTTAGCCATGATATTCTCGTGCAAAGTAAATGAAATGGTCTAATTCTGAAACACTTAAATAAATCAGTTAAAGCTTATTGTAAAGTATATAACACAATTACTAATTTAAATGGAAACTAATTATATTTATAAAAACTTTATTCATCGATTAGCACTCTCCTCAGATCGAAATGAAAAGAAAAAGATTGATCTATGCTGGGGTCGAGAGAAACATTATGAATAATTCCAGAACAAGATCAGGCTGCTTAAACTGAGAAGTCCACTGCGGAAAAAGAAACGACGGAAAACAGCATCTTAACAAGCGAAAGAAGCTCTACAAAAAATGTAAAAATTGCTTTCGTTTCATATGACCTAAATGGTCGAGGGAAACATCATGAGACAATTCCAGAATTATTTGAGGCTGATTTCAAACCAACGGATTCTGCTGATTTCAAGAGTTACCTGTTCAATCGATTTCGTACAAAATATGTTAAACTAACCAATTTCAGTCTCACAGAACTGGCCTATGAAAGATGGCGGACACGTGTTGCTACCACATGTTGCTGGCTCCATGATCGTAACATTGGGTCCTTTAAATCCATTGAGGTGAATCCACGAACGCAGCGTGTCTGCAATTAGAGTGGAAAGCACATCGAAAAACTTCATCAGGGCACCAAGGGGATGAGTACAAATATTAAAAGTTGACAAATGTGACCTTATATGAATCATCCAAAAAAACATTTAAATGAAATTCAATTCGTATGCTAAGTGCACGGCATAGTAGATACAGATCCAGGGGAAACAACATAAGAAAGATAGTGAGAAGAGAATCGAATAAGATGATTTTACGTAGAAAACAGGGACAAAACGATTGGTGAGATATTGTAAAGCAATGCAGCCGTATGCCAACAGCATTATAGTGTTAAAAAAGCTCTAAAAACACCCTTTAACTTACTCAGCCATTGTCAAATATATTACGGTAAAAGAAAAATTAAAAAAGCACTCCATCGTTATATGAGAACAAAAAGCAGATTGCAAGTTTCTATTCGTCTTGTACACTAACTTGAATAGCAAAATGGCATACTTGTGAGATTTGAAGAACAGTTTGCTGTCAAGGCAGATCTTTCAGCAGAGCTCAGGACTCTATTCCAAATGCCAACCTGGCCAATTTCACCCGCAAAGGAGTTGCTTAGAACTGACCCCATGTTCGACATTTCCTGACCGAGTATTAGCATGCCTTTTGGGTCAAATAGTTTTCTATTTTTCATGCCGTTTTCAATCGAGTTAAAAACAACCCTGAAATAAAAAAATGTTTTACAACTAAGGCATGTGAACCGAGATTGCATCTTTTTTTAAAAGAGCAGTGTTGATGGCTTATCCATCAGGAATCTCAAAAGAAAAGAAGATGTATGATAAAGCTTAGGGCTGACAGTTGAAAATAAATAATACTTCAGATATATGACAATCTTTCGGCTTAAAAAGGTTTAAAGCGAGGTCAATGTCAAAAATACCTTGGTTTGGTACAAGCTACACTTACTCTGTATCCTTGTAGACTTGCACGCTTCCACTTGTTGGTTCAATTGATACAATAACGTGGTGCCATAGACCGTCATTCAAAGGCTTTGCAAACGGATGAGTCACCCGACTGCCATTCGATGGAGTAAATCGTACGAATCTATCTTGGATTTCAAGCAAAATATCATGATATGATGTGTTGACCATGTTTGTTAGCATTAAGAATGTGCCAGCCGAGGTCTTTCCGAGGAAACGCACCCAACTTGCTACTGTAATCGCCGGTACACTGCTGAAGTTCATGTAACTCAAATAAGAGCCACTTCCGCCATGAAAACGAAGGTCAAACCTCGGTGATTTCGCTGTGTTAAATACAATGCAGCATTTAGTAAACAGTAAAACGCACAAGAAAAAATAAATCTTCATTGCTAAGTTACAAATGACGCACTGCTAAACTTGCAAAAGATTTGACGATTGGGACGAAAAGTATCACAATTGAAGTGCATAATAACAGCAGCAGCAACAACAACAATAGAAGCAACAACAACAACAGCAGCAGTAACATATTATATAAAAGATGGATTACCTTTCTGGCATCTTTGCCCAGTATGTGTAATTGGGCATTGGCATCGGAAGGAGTTGATGCCATCTAAGCAGACACCGCCATTAAGGCATGGAAGAGAGCCATTACGTACAATGCAGTCATCAATATTGATTTCACAATTCAAACCAGAAAAGCCTAGCGTGCAGTTACAAGTGTATGCTGCAACCTGTGGAGATATAAAAATAGCTTTTTGAATGAGATCTTTGACTTTTGTAGGCATGAAGCTGATTTGAAATCACCACTTTCTATTTAAAATAGTTTGCATGTCAATAATAAAATTGGAACTTCTTACGATTCAATTACTTATCAAAACTGTTTTAAATGGAATGTTCAGAGCAGTTCTTCCTTGGAATACTATATATGTTCAATGGAAAATTACTATAATTTATACCAGGTCAACGCAAGTTCCTCCATTCTGGCATGGATTCGACGCACACTCATTAATCTCGGTTCCGCAAGTGTCACCCATATATCCATCGGTACAATTACACTGGAACGAGGCTGAATCTTTTACATTCATGCATGTACTGTTGTACAAACAGGGATTTGGCGTGCAGTAGTCTATCTCAATCTCGCATGATCGTCCTCTGTAAGAGATAAAACTTTCAATTTGACGACAATAGCTATGAGGTGATAACAATATAGCCCTACTCACTCTCAGCTGAAAGCAGCAATTACAGAAATCAATTTGACGCTAAATTTTCACAAACAAAAGCCTCAGTCAAAGCAGCAAAATCGGAATAAATATTATGTAACACACTTTCATGTAACAAAGCATTTGCAAACCCAGTAGTTACAGCATAAAAAGACTTCAAGGCAATTAGGATAATTCCTCCCTTTGTTATTGGTCTGCTAGGTTCCTGATATAAAATGCTCAAAAGAAAATTCTTGGTGGAAGCAGCAATCACGAGTTCTTAAGGATCTATTTCCAAGTAGAACACGGCGTCGAATGAGACTTGATATAGCAGTTCCTTTTGGTATAAATGCTTTAGTTCATTTACTTTTGATATTAACACAGTACCTACCTATACCCTGGTTTGCAGTTACAGTAAACTCCATTGCTTAGGTCTGTGCAGTTGTAAGCATTTCCACGGCATGAATTTGGGCTACATTCATTGACGTCAGTCTCACAGTTTACACCTGTATATCCTGGCGCACATGTGCAGTTATAGCCATTAACGAAATCCGTACAATTCCCAGAATTCTGACACGGAAGTGACGCGCAGTCGTCGATATTATGATCGCAGTCTTTCCCAGTTAAACCAGCCATACAATCACATCTATCAAATAAATGGTATACCAATAACCGATTTAATACAATTAGCATATCTCAGCAAAATAATTCAGTTAGCTTGAAGAATAAGCTGTATTCGTAAAAACGACAAAAATATATGAAAGTAAAATTAGACTTTTGTTTATGAGGCAACAACAAGGTTCGGCAAACAGGAGACTAAACCACACTATCACTTGCGCTGGTCTTGGCAAAATGTAAAGACTTCACTGCTAACAATTAAAAAAATAAAATCACTGCTGTTTCGGACATCGTCTTGGTACTGAAGTAAAAATGAAGGTGCCATTATTAAGAAACTATCTTTTAATGACGGTACGATTTCAGTGCATTTACCTGTAGTCAGCAACTAAATCTACGCAGCCACTGTGGACACAGGGATTTGGAACGCATTCATTTGTCTCATTTTCACAATGATCGCCGTAGAATCCAGGACGACAAGTACAATTGTATGAATTCACCTGGAGAATGAGAGAAATCGTTTCATTGAAAAGATGCCAAGAGACAATTGATTGCAGAGCTTACAATCTACAATATTAGAGTACATAAGTAATCAACATTGCTAATGATTGATGATGAAGAATGATTGATTTGATGATGGTGATTGACAATGATGATTGGTGATGATGACTGATTCTCACGCTACATGATCTATAACAATCATACTCGATACGAAAGCAACGAACCTGGTCAACACAAGTGGCGTTATTTCTGCAAGGACTTGAGCCGCATTCATTGATATCAATTTCACATCGTTTTCCTGTATATCCAGCCAAACAAGTGCATTCAAAGCTATTAACTTGATCGGTACAGGATCCACCGTTTTTACAAGGTGTTGTGGCACACTCGTCGATGTTAATTGAACAGCTCTTCCCGGTATAGCCTGAAGGAAAATGACGAAGCTGTTTGTTCCATTCTAGCTCAAAAGCAAAATCTAGGTTGATAATTCTAACATCCTATAAACACGGGTATTAGTAAGCGTAGTACAGGAACAGTATCACCCTTTATACCTATGACCTTATGCGATTAGGAGTAACTTTGGATGTAAGAATAAAGTACTGATGGCAAAAAGGATTGAAAAAACAGAACTGCAAGCAGTGGCGTCCCGTGACCATTCTCGCTGGGGGGTGTAAGAGATGCAAAACCATATTTGACACCCCCTACACCCCCCTCACGTACACCCCCTCACTCCCCCGCACGCTACGTCCCTGACTGTAAGTTGCTTGTTTTGTACTTTGAAGAGGATACTAGGACACTAATTGGCACAATTGGCACCAATAGAATTTTAGAAATTTTCTTATAAATAAATTTTGACTAGAAAGCAGTAGCGCAGGGCTGGAAATAAGCGTGGATCTAACTCACTTTGTGGAGTTGTGAATTAAATCGTGGAACTATAATTGTAGTGTGGATTTGTAAATAGTGCATATTCTTAACAGTGCAGCATAAAATACCAATAGAAACGCCCAAGATAGAATTAGGAACATTTTTTCAATTCGAAGCGAATGCCCAATCCCAGCGTTATGAATTGCACTCATTTTTATAAGAAAATTGCGTTAAGAAATGAGCAATTGACAATAAAGAAGAATTAAGAAACTTCAGAACTCGAAGCTTCAGTACACGAGGAGAAGAATCAATTGCGCTTTATGATATTGTTGTCTGCTATTTTGAAGTATTATCTCAAGTTAGTTTGCTTTTATTATACTTGCTTCAATAAAGACACTGTGCCAGAAAAAACCACGACCGAGACTATGATTTCCTGCCCGTAATGTATTTTGGAATTGATGTGATATCTTTCAGTAGATATCAGAAAAAGTTAAAAGCAATTCAACTAAGGTCGTTTGAATTGGAAAAGTATTGGAAACATTCCTCTCAAGGCTACAGCAGCTGAACGATGATAAGCCTCTCAATGGTAGCTGGGAGGAACATTTATTTGGGAATGTTTAATAAAAGTCCTCCCCAACTTTTTTCCAAAAATAGGTTAGAAAATGTTTTGAAAGTTTACGCTAACAAACCCATTAGTAGCAGTTCTGCTGGGAACCCGTTTTTGTATCTGTATTGTATCTAACACGGCTTTGTTTTTTTATATTAATTGAAATCTTCTCTGAATCGTTATGTTCATGAAAAAGGACTGAACGAAGCAAAAGTGTTTCAAAGGGCGTGGCCGTAAAAAAATCTAGGGGCAAGCCTCCTAGCCCCGTTCCAGCCACTCCGTTATAGGCCGGTGCCAGTGTGACAAGATCTAGCATAACATTATGGTTTTAGCATCATATTGGCCAAAAATCGTCATTTAGCATAAAACTAGCATATAATTTGGAATCTAGCATAGCACTGGTACAATTCATATATTTTTTTAAAAAAAACATTTACCAAATGAGAGTAACCATTTTGCCAGATGTTTGGAATGGCTGGCAGCCTCATATTTTATGGCTGGCAGCTGAATTCAGCCAGCTGAATGTGAGATGTTATTACCTTTAAATGCTTTCCCTGCTACGTTAACGTGTAACCCCCGTCTCGGCAGAGCGATAAATGGCTTTTTTCAAAGGAAGTAGTTAGTTGATAGAATGCAATAGAAAGAAATACGCTTTTCGCTTAACGAAATCTAATTCCTTGCTTGACGTTCTTCTCGAAAGATACAGGCATGACATAAAGCAGTATACGAAAAAGCTAAATTTGTTCTAATTGTGGGGAGTGATAGCGTAATCAAAATTGCTTTGTAGGTTAAAAAAGTTTTCACTTGCTTTAATCTTAAATCGTCTGTTACCTTTTACTTTGTTTCATCATTCATCACTTGCAATTTTGAAATTATTCTAAAAAGTTTTAAATATAATCTGTGCAGAAATTTTTGTTTCCTTTGCATTTTGTTATTTTTTGCAACATGCGGCCAGAATTCAGCCAAATTTTGCTTCTTCGGCCAAATCCATTTATAACGGCCAAGAGGTTTTAAGAAACTGCAAAAATAGAGAAATTTGTCATCAAAACCATTTATCTAAATTGCTAATTTGCTAATTTTTGTTTATGAAGAATGAGTACATTGGGTTTTAGATGAATGGTTAAAATGGCCAAATGGCAACTCTGGCCACTTTTGATATTCTGACATGTGTTAGCTTCTATCTCGAGCAGGGTTGCCTTGATTTAAAATTTAGCATAATTTTTGCAAATCTAGCTCAATCTTGTGACAGATTTGGCATAATTTCAAAATTGAGATCTGGTCACACTGGCTGGTCAAACTGCGCGAAAAGAGAAAAAGAAGAGAAACACGCTTTGTACATCCGCGAGAGAAGAGATCATTTGCCATCTGTCACAAGGTTCTCTTTTATAGCATCAACAGTTTTTCAAGAACAGATTTGATGACAAAAAAATTTGATAGGGTGAATGCAACTAAGAACTTTCCTAAGCAAAAGCGATTTAAGAATGATTCATCTAACTTTTGTCCCGGACAAAATATTTCATTCAATCATGCATTGAAATTTGAGATTTAAGGCCCCGTTTACACGAGAGAAAAAGGAACGGATCCAAAAGACCTGGACCTTTTAAGCACGATATGGGTACAATCCACAAGCGTTTACACGAGATTGATTCCTAAACTATAAAGCGTTTACACGGGAATGGACCAAAATCGAATCGCTTTTTTAAGCATGCGCAAAGCCTAAGACCCTGTTTACACTAGCACGGATCCCAGTGGGTACGGTTCCACTTTGGATCCGTGACTAGTTTTGTAGGTGTTTACACTGGAACGGACCCAATTCAGATCGCGTTTACACTAGCACGGATCCAGTCCACTGTCTCGGCTACTTGACCTCCCATTGCGTTTCAACAGACAAAAGCTTTCTCAAGTGAGTTGTTCGCTTTTGCGAGAACGATCGTAGTTAGTCTTAAATTCTCGTACTATTCTTCAGAAACAACTTTATCATTCAGGAAATTTTGCCTGGTCGTTGCCGGGCTCTTCCTGGTCGTTGCCAGAACCTTCTTGGTTTGCGGTGCCGATATCGCTGTTGTTGAATTTTATGATGTAGGCCTAGTCCCAGGCTGCTTTGTTTAGATATAACCAAAGCTAGTCTCAACTGAAGAATCCTGTGTTGAGCACATAGAAAAGCAATATACTGCAGCCAGGAATTAAAACATAACACTAACATTATGAGTATAAAAATAACTTTCTGTTTGTATATGGAATTCGAGATTTTTGCGCCAAAAATTGGCCTCTTAAGGAGAAAATTTAATGCCTCGTTTCCGAAGTGTGGTTGGTTTGGTTGGGTTCCAGCCGTTTACACTAGACCTAAACAGGAACGGATCCAAGTGAGTATCCAAGCGATCCAACACGGATCCAGATAGCAGACCCAAGCCTATCAGTGCTAGTTTGGGTACGGATCCATTTGGATCTGTGCTAGTGCAAACGGGGTCTAAATGACTAAGATCACAGAGATCTGAGACTTGTTCTCAGAGGAATTCTACCAGACAAGACAATGACTCAGATTCTCGCAGCAAACCATAATTCTGCCGATCTAGAGAGGCTGATTTCCACTTACAACAAGATAGAGGCCGGTGGGGAAAGCAGAATAGCTCCAGAAAAACTTAACCAATCTGAGCAGATATAAAAATGAATATGCTTGATCTTGCAAGTTTCGTGTTCTACGAACAGCTGCAAAGATATAGTTCCAAAAAACCAAAAACACCAAAGTCTGGGAAGCAAAACTGATTTAAAGGGAGCTTTTGAAGGCTAAAGGAAATGAAAAGCAACTTTGACAGAGATTGGAACAAGCCATTTAAAAGGCTCTCCTTTCGATAACTTTTTGCTCACGAGTTAAGGCATCACTATATGTTGCAAGTTTTCTTACTAATCCAATCCATACATTATAAAGAATCAGCTTTTGCTTCTTATACTTCATTCATTTAAAAATCTGCTCATTCAGGACTTGCTATTTGCATTATGGTGGCAGTTTCTATATTTGCCACGCCCATGCAGCCAATCCAAACAAAGCACGACGCCCAATTTTTATAAAAAAATGTGGATCTATAAAAATTCGTATTTTAGGCCCTTAGTAGCGTGGTAGCCGGTGGGGCCAGCGGCATGTGCCGCTCCAGGGACCAGATCCTTGTTGGTTTTCATGAAGAGCGTTTGTTCGACTACGACCAAAAGCCAGGTGTCTATTTTCGGTATGTGGATGACACATATACGATTTTCAAAACAATGACTGAATGTGATATTTTCTAAAAAACCTTAATAGCCTACACCCAGCCCTCCAGTTTGCGTTTGAAAAGGAAGAAAACGATTCCTTGCCATTTTTAGATGTTTTGGTCGAAAAGTCCAACACTGGATATCTTACCAGTGTATATCGCAAGCCTACTTTTACCGGTCAGTACATAAGCTGGAATTCATTTTACCCAAAACAACGCAAAGTCAACCTTGTTAAAACTTTAGTACATAGGGCACTGATTATCTGCTCGAAATCTAAACTGCACGCTGAACTGGAAAAACTCAAAACGATCTTTCTGGACAACGGCTATCCAGAAGACGTCATTTCATCTTATACTAAAGAGAAGATCGCAAGTTTTTCGGCTGTTCAAAAGTTTGGTCCGCAAAAGTGCCCAGTTTAATTGAAACTACCATGGATTGGTAACACTTCCTTGCGATTCAAGAGTCAGATTAGGCAAGCCATAACCAAATGTTTCTTTGCTGTCAATCCTCGGATTGTTTACAGCACTAGGAGAGCCCTTCCATCCATTCAAAAGGACTGCGTTCCTACCAAACAAAAAAGTTCCGTCATTTATGAATGTACGTGCCAGTGTGATTCTGGCTACGTAGGACGCACAACCCAAAGATTGGGGGATACGATAAAACAGTTTGTTCCTTCCAACATACGAAACAAAACTGCCCCTCAAAGAGAACAGCCTCCTCGATCTTCAAGGTCTAGAAACACTGTTAAAACAAGTGATTCTGTCATCGGTCAACATCTTTTAGACAACCCAGATTGTGCAAAACTCTATAATGACGACATGTTTCGGATAATTGGCAGAGCCCGGTCGTCCTTCCATCTAGCAGTTTTGGAGTCGATCTACATACAAACGAAAAAGCCGCCATTTTGTAGACAGAAGGAGTTCGTTTTCTCTCTTGGACTCCATTGGTAATTTTTCTTTAGGCACGTGGCACTGATTGGTCAACTCTACCGGTCCTGTGCTTGCGTTTTTCTGATTGGCCTATTTCGATCCGCAACTGGGTATATATTTTTCATCGTGTTCTTTCGGACCCTTATTTTGACGTTTCATGCTCTGAGGAAAAAGCAATTGATGCTCTGAGGAAAATGCTTTTTCGACGAAAAATCTTTTAGTATGTTGTAAAATGCTTGCTTTTTTCAAATTTTTAATTTATTTGCAAACCTTTACACAAGGATTAACGATACTAAAAATAGAGATGTAGATGATGAAATCAACTACTCCTGGCTTAGACTTTATCAGAATGGTAGTAATTCAATACAAAATTGCACAGATTTTGATTCCCTGATCTGTGTTACAAGTATATCTGATTCTTTAGCCAAAAGAATAGTTTATATCCACAGCAAATTTCATACCGTTGTGTTTGGATTATAGGAATCATTGGGGTGAAGCTATTTGAGTAAATCTACAAAATGTCTTTTGCATCGAGGGGCAAATCACTCCAAGAAAATCTCGTACAACTTTTGTGAAAATCCTATTGTTTTATCTGAAAATCTCCGGAAACCCTTTTGTTTTAGGAAAAATCTTGTACGCTATTTGGAAGAGTGAATTGTCACTTGTTTTGCATAACGTATTTATATTATCACATGTTCTTAACTTTTGCAACATGTTGCTATTTTCTTGCAACAACATGTTGCTTTTGCAACAATAGCTATTTGCTATTTTCTAACTTACAATTATGGTTTCGTGTCGAAGGGTCATTTCAGCCCTCAAGCCTTTATCAAAAGATGCTAAGAAACGCCCATCCGTTGAAACACCTATGTGTCCTGTCTAAGGGATATGCGCTTCACGCCATTCGCAGCTAGGCCCTGCATGTCCGCCATTACACTGTAGCATTTGAAACGCATATGCGTCTCAGCCCCTGCAGAAACGCATGCCTATGCAGAAACGCATATGACACCGGCCCCTGATAGAGGTGGTGCACCAAGGGGAAACATAGTTATCTAGGGGGCGTTTCAGAAAGTCAAAGAAACGAAAAAGAAAGAATCTTTTACAAACCTGCCTGGCAGATACATTGATAGTCATTAACTTTGTCCAAACAAGTTCCATTATTGGTGCATGGTTCACCCAAGCATTCATTGATATCCACTTCACAGATTTTGCCTGCAAACCCGGGTTGGCAATCACACTTAAAACTGTTCACCTGGTCAATACACGTTGCATTGTTTCGGCAAGGCTTCGACAAACACTCATCAGTATCATTTTCACAGTTTACTCCTAAGAAAAGATACCTCTGTTAATTCTATATTTCAATTCGCTTTTTCCAAATTGTTTGATTGAAAAAATGAGCTTAGTGCACAAGCTACTTAATCTGGCATTGCTAAGGTAGGATATTTAATCTCTCCTAAAGAATAAAAAAGGAAGCTGAAGTAATTAAAAATCAAGCATTATCAAATTCCTCAAAGAAACCATACCATAATAACCAGGCGAACAGAGACATAAATAACGGTTCACTAAGTTGAGGCAAGTCGCTCCGTTTTTACATGGACTAGAAGCACACTCATTGATGTTTTTTTCGCAGAATCCTCCTGTCAGGCCAGGCCTACAAATGCATGTCACCTGAAACGAGTTGAGAAACAGATCAGTATCGTACGGTTACGTCCCACCTTTGAATTGCATACGCTGCATCAGGAAAAAGCATATTCGGAAATTCGGCCTAGATAGCTCTCTCTCTCAGTTTTAAGTGGATGTCTTACAGCTTGTTGAAATATTTTATTACCTATTGTGAGCTAGTTCATCGTTCTTTAGCTTTTCAGTTTAAAAATATACTGTAAATTCAGGGCCGGTGAAACGTATTTGAAGGTGGAGGGGCCAAAGTATCAAAGTTAAGGAAAGAAAATTAAATAATTTAAAAGGGTTAAGGAAAGAAAATTTTTTAGAAATATGGTATCCTAGGATGGCCATAAACCATAGCTTAAATAGATTTTAACCGAAGGCAAATTGAAGCAATATTTTTATGTTTTGATCAATATGTCCATGGTTTCGTCTTTTAACATGTTTACATGTAATATGAAAGGACTTGCAAAGTTTTAGAATAACATTTCTAATGTAGCTCTAAATGAAACATTTTTTAGGTTATAAAAGTAACCAATATAAGATGGAGGGAAAAAATGAAACACAGTTAAAAATTAGCATTGAAAAATTGACACAAAGACTTTAACTTAGAAATTATAAAAAAAAACGGTTTAAGTTGGAATATTATACTTTCTCTTTTCTTAAATTTTTCGGGAATTAAGTGCTTTAGCAAAAAAACTTACAAACTGTGCAGTTCAAAACAAGCTTAATAGAATATATAATTACATCTAGATTTTCTCTTCCTTAGCAGAAATGGCATATTTGTACAGTCAAACTTTGAAACATTCTTGCTGATATCACTTTGAAAACAAATATCTTGCGATTCTTTATTTTTCATATTCTCAAAAATTTTCTCGACAGCAGGTTTTCTCTGTAACACTGATTTCTCTCTTATTGTAAAAATTTGGAGAAACTTACAAATAGACCTTAAAAGCAAAAGATTGGGCCATAGAAAAAACAAAACTCAATCCTTTTGTACTGGCACTAAGTTTTTTTATTTTAGCCAAGTAGTTCATCGTTGAACAACTTAGACAACGTTCGATTTCATATATATCTTCCATGGTAAAGACATAGTAACCAAATTAGAGGTAAGAACATATTTGAAGGAGAAATACTAGGCACAGTTACAGACAGAATGGTAGACTACAATTCTTTCCACTTTTGCGTAAAAAATGTAATTATCATCTGCAGAAAAGTTTGGCGATCATGGCCTCCGGCCACCCCCGGTTCCGGTGGCCCGGCAATTACGGTTTCAGATTGGTGCTCTCTCTAGAGATGCAAACGTCACGGAGAAGAAGGGAGAGGGAAGTGGATCTTGAGTTTAAACGAAGGCTGTGAGGTCTCAAGATTGAGTCTGAACGGAAATTTTTAGGTTTATTGACGGGAAGGTCTATAGGTTGGAAAGTATATTGAATAACCCATATTTTGATAAAGGTCGACATTTTGAAAGAAAAGGTATAGAATTCTGTTTTCTGAACATACCGAATTTACGCCATCCACGCAGTTACCCCCGTGCATACAAGGCTGACTTTCACATTCGTTAATGTCAATCTCGCAGTTTGAACCTGTATATCCAGGAGGGCATTTACAGGTATACGAGTTCACTAACTCAGTGCAGCTGCCCCCATTCTGACATGGCGCCGAAGCGCATTCGTCGACCTCGATCTTGCAGTCTTTGCCAGTGTAACCATCTGCACACTTACATGAGTAAGCAAATTTACCACGAATGCACGTGCCGTTGTTCTGACAGGGCGAAGCGTAGCAAGAATCGTTGGCTGCAAGAGTTCACAAAGCACGAAGTTAATTAAAGTTACGTGAATAGATGAAATTAGATAAATTGATAAATGACAGAAAAGACATGAACGTGAAAGAATCTCAAGAATCTTTGGTTTAGTGGATGAACATTTTCTGATCGAACTCTGATAAAGTTCTGACTGCATCATGATTTGATCATGCTCACATCATGACAAGACCATAATCCCATCATGGTTACATCGTGATCAGACCTTTAGTATATTTTGATCACGTTCTGATTACAATCTGATCACATGCTGATTACAATACAATCAGAGAATAATCACACCATGATCCAATATTTTACCATTTTCTGCTTCTGAAGGCATGAATTTTTCTAATATTGGTTGTATAGCAAAGTTATCAGCATGAATGGAACATTGCGCGGCAAAACTCGTAAAAATATCTGCCAAAAATGGCACTTATATTACCTAACTCATAAACCTATTCGTTAATAAAGAGCAAACGAGTAAAGAGCAAACGAGGATAGAAATTGTTGCCCCATTCAAGACTTGGTGATCTTTCTGAAAACTTTCAAAACTCTTGATGTTAAAAAAGGGTTGTTATAAGCGAGAAATTAGGACGCCAGCAGACGGGCTAGCTGATGCAAAGCCACTCACTTGGACATTCTGAAACTGAGACTGCGCCTGTTTTGCCGCCAAATGTTCCTCCGCCAGGGCAGAGATAACAGACCACTCGGCCAGTGTTGGGTTGGAAAGTGCCAATGAGACATTGTTCGCAAGGGCTGTATCCATTACCTGAAAAGTTACCCGCAGCGCAAGGATCTAAAAGATAGAACATAATAGTCTCAACAACATCACTTATACTTATACTTCTGCTTGCTTCATTTTGTCTGGTGCTTTTAGTGCTATAAAAATCCTTTCTATGCAAACTGACCACACGAAATTTATTTGGTCATAATTTCCTGCCTCAAACTAAAAAGCTTTCGTACTTGTTCAAGTTTTCCTAGCTCAGAACAAAACTTTTTTAACTGAAATTCAACTGAATCCAATAAACATGCTGTTTCAAATGTGCATTCTTTCTATCGTATCGTGTACAGTGGTATGACCTCTATAGCTAATCTCGTGAAAGAAAAAGCATGTTTCAAAAATGATCAGGCAAATGTTATGACCTGCTACTAACTAACAAAAACCGTTTTATGCAGACCAGCACTGTGCTTATATCAGAATTTGAAAAAGGTAAACCCACTGTTGTAACATACAGAGAGTATACAAAACTCAATGCAGACTATTTTCCTTAGAAGTCCAAAATGTTATGTCAGATTGTCCATCTCATTATCATATCTTTTCCATATATATAAAAAAAACTTCAGATGAACCCCAGGGGAATCACTCAAACATTCGGATGAGCCCCAGGGGGATCTGGGGCGTAGCCTCCAGAAATTTTTTTTGAACCTCGCCCTTCAAACAATCGCAAATGCGGGAAAACGCCCTTTTTGCAAAATTTTCCGCCATTATTTGATTCATGTTAGCTACAGTAAATAGCAAAGTATTTTACAATTGTTATTGACACAAGCATACAGTATACTACATCCCCCCAATTAGTTTTGCATCGTTTTTGGACAAATCTCTAGGATCATATTTTAGAAAAGTAGGGGGGTCCTAACCCTCCTATACACCCCTTGGGTACGCCACTGGACCAGAAGGGAAAATTTTTACCAATAATTGTCGGATAGACGCCTCTGTATATATAAAGTTCAAGTGGCCCCCACGGGGGGGGACGTGCCGAAAACAGCAGTTAGTAAGAGGAAACAATGCTCCATTTAAGAATAGAGCAATACTTAAACAAATATTGTTAAGATCAACTAACAAGACCAAATTTGATAAAAGTAAAACATCAGAAAACTTGAACAAGTACAAGGGGCTAAAAAACGACGTGTCAAATTTATAACAAAAAGAACTTATTTTAAGGATATAAATATAAACTTTGTATCCAATAACGAACGATGATTTTGAAAAACTATGAGACAAGCAATCACAAAAAAAATCAAAGAAAAAAGTAAAATGATATTTGTAGAGGATAAAAATCTAATCTCAAGTAGCAAATTTATAGCAGAGAATACTTTTTAAAATAAAAATGGTCCAAGACTATACACGGCAGGCTATATCTTAGATATTTTTTGTCAAACAATAGATTTTCCTGTCGTATGTCAGATCTTTATTTGTTTTAAAAAACTCGCAGCCGTACCATTTCTGTTATTATCAATCTTACTGTTGCAAAAGTCCCTTTAAAATGTCACTTTGGTGAATTTGAGCTTAGTTGATATTTAATCTTTATCTCTTGATAACATTCTTTGGCTGAGGGAGTGTTTTAATGATGATTTTGAATAATGAGGATGATGATGAAGGTAATTTGTGATTTTTTTAATATACTCTGTTTGTCTTTAATCCGTTATGCAATTATTTGTTGTCAGTACCCTATTGTTTATGGGAAATTTGTGTGTCATGTGGTTTCCTCATATTTGAAGCAAAATAGGGTTCTTCTCAAGACGGTGTCTGTCAGCGAAGCAATGGGCTAGGCCAAAAAGAGATACTCCTTCGTTGGTGTTATGATATTAAATCGTCGGTATATGATAATTTAAGGCATTGATTATTGATAAATGGATTGGCAGGGCCTACGCCACGAATTTGAAAGTGGGGGCCATGTTCAAAGTTATAATGAAAGTCAGTGTTCTGGGGTGAAGACGACGAATTACATCATAGGAAAACCAGCCTTTTGACCGACTTCCATTGTCTGTCTGTATTATAATTGCAAGGGCGCAAATTTAAATTTTATTTGAGGGAGAGGGAGGAAACACGCTCTAGACCGACTGCAGCATGAATTTCTTTTGGACTTACTGAGGGTTTATATAATATTTGTGCTTATTAAGATAGATATGAGCTCTATTACAACAATGACGTCAAGTATACCCCAAAAACTTCTCATCACTTGCATTTGCAGCTGCAGTGAATGGTCTATGAATTAATCAGTTAAAAATTCAAAATTTCCAATATTCATAATTTTCAGTGTAATGTATTTTTTTGATTACGTTTATTTTTATTAAGGAATGCCAAGTTAATCGTTTTCTCAAGAAATCGGTGAAAAATATATTTCAATGAGCGACGAAACGAATTTAAAAGTTTAGGAAAGGCCACCACCATGGTTAGCAGCAAGATAGATTGAATCTTAGGATGGCCAAAAACTATATCTAAAATTGATTAGTAAAAGATCCTGTGACTTTCAATTGTCTTCCCCTAACCAAAGGTTACTCCTGGGCATTCCCTTCAAGTAAAATTGACGTTCCTTGTTGGTAAAAGGGCGTTTTCTTGTGGTAAAAAGGGCCTGCTCTGAAAAATTTTGCTTTGTTCCCCCTGAACCTAGTAGCTGGCACCACCATTGTCTTCAGGTAAAATTCAAATCAGGATTTAAGCAACAATGATTGGGGGGGGGGAGGGGGTGTTAGAAACTAATTTTGGTGCCACACGCTTCAGGTCACTGGTAAATGATGGTAACGCCAATTTTTAAACATTGATCTTTAACTTTAAGATGAAAACGATAAGAAATAGTGGCGTTGCCCGGATTGGAAGATTGGTGGGGCAAAGAGGAGAAAATTTGTTGGTGACCAGACCCCTACGAATTTGGAAAACACCCGACTTGTAAATGCGTTTGAAAAAGCTATGGCATCTTTACGTGGCAATTTCCCTTTATACAACGTCATATGTAGCTTTTTGTGGCTGACCATATTCTACAACTGTCTATTTCCTTCACCATTCGTTTCCTTCACCTTCACTAACGATTATATCCTGAATTGTGTAAGGCGAGGAAGCACTATTAAAACAGAATAAAATTGCCAAAATGCCCTTGAGGTTATCCCGAAATACATTTCAGAAAATTTCTGGACTAGGCGTCTATATCTCTCTCTGCAGCAAACACCATGAGGTCGTCCAAACTTTCTTGGCCAGTCTTATTTCTAGAATAGCTTTTCACTGTTTTCATGAAGCTTGACGAACGTTCATTCGTAGCAACAGATGGAGCTGCAGTAATGAAAAGCGTTTCTTCTTCTAGACCTCTCTGTTGTTTTTATTTGTGCGCTCTCTTTGCAAGTTCAAAGATAACTGCCAGCTCGCTGTGTAGCGTAGTGCAGATTTCATTAGAGAACATATGGGAAATTTCGATAAAAAAGACTGCGCATTTCATCGACAGTGCCCAGCTTTCATGGGTTCAAGACTTCTCCGAATCACTTTTCTTTTTCAGCAAGAGTAGCAGAAAGGCTGTCAATTTACATAAAGAACTGTAGAAGGTGCTGATTTGTTGCAGCTCGAGATTGTGGACTGGGGTGCAGGCTAGAGACTCCTTGTTTATGAAAGGCGTCTGTTTGGTGTCCGGGGCAGCATTTACATTGTTATTCATTGTTCACAATGTCATCCAAAAGAGCTGATGCTTCCACTTTTGCCTCATTATCATCGGCCTTACGTCGTGCAGAGCACGAATAATTGCCTCTTGGCTCCTCCATCCTTCTTCTGATTCTGGTCTTCCTGTCCATCCTTTTTGACAGGTTTTACAGCTTTAAGCAGTTTTCCACATCTTTTGTATTTTCTCTCAAACGTTTCTTTTAGTAATCTTTGAAAATATAACGAATTTTCTTTCAAGAACAGCAAACCTCTTTCCAGTGAGCTAAAACACATGATCAAGGCCATGTGGGGGTACATTTTGTGTAAGGTATTTCTCTTCAAAGCAGATCGTTGATCTTCTGCTGGGCTCTATTGAATTTTCCGGTCATATTTGCAGCTGAATCATAGGTTTGAAACATTACGTCTTCCAGTGGTATATCTTTAAGGTTAAGACACTTGATGAAACATTTGCTGATCTTGAGCCAGATTTGCCTTTGGTCTTTTATCCGAACAAGTCGCTCTTCAGGTTCGGAAATACCTGCGTTGATGAATCTTACAGCAACTGACAATTTGTTGCTATGGTGGCTAACATCAGGTATGGTGTCTGTCTTTACTGAGCAGACTCCAGCCTTCCTAACCCTGTCTCTAATTGATTTCCTCACCTACTCCCCCAAAAGGCTGAAATGTTCCGTCTGACTTCTTGGGCTAGAATATGTGGTTTTTTGCTTTCTAAACTTTGTCTAGCTAACAGATAAACAATCTGACGAAATTTTCCATCATCATTTCTAAGAAAAGCTTGTCCACCCCTATTCCCGAACAGGAGTTTTAGCCACGTTTTAGCGATCAAGAAGAATCGTCACAAAATCCTTACTTTTTGATCTTTCTAAAAAAGACCATCTATCATGATCTATAATGGTGACAAGACTCTAACTGAATATATTTAAGGAACAGTGTCAAAAGGGAAACAACCAGCGTTCAATAGAGATGTCAATATCAGATAACAGCGTTTTGTATCCGTGCACAGCGTGCGAGGCTTTCGCATTTTTGTATGTTTTATGAAAGGAAACGAATAATTAAGGCTTTTTCTTCAGTCATATTTCTTTCGATAAAGAATGGCGATAAGGAAAAACAAAGGCTATTTTTAAAGCCTTAATACAGCAACTCGAAGGGTGCAGTTTAAAGAAATGGGCCGAAATGACAACAACAAACCTACTTTACGGGTGCATATTATGAGCGAAAAGATTTTTTGAGGTTTGCAGGACAATTTTGGAGTAATCATTTTGTTTTAAAGTGTCTAATGCCATCAAAATTAACCAGGAGAAACGAAATATCTTCGCCATTGACTGAATGAAGCTTTACTTCCTTGGCCTAGTTCAATTGCTTTACACATTTTGGGTCGATAGTCGGTACAAATGTGCAAAAATAGTTATTGTCCTAATTCAATTTTCGATAAATACACTTATTAAATACAATTTATCGAACTTATTGAAGCACCGGAGCACCATCCGCCATTTTTCCAAAGTGGCAAAAACGCACAATGTCCCGTGTATTTGGTTTGTGTTCAAAACCGTGACAGAGGACAAAACTGTAAAAAAGTGGTCGCTGATGAAAACAAGAAGAGAGACAATTGATTAGGACATAAATACACTCTTTTCTTTTTATAAGAACAATTTTATAAGAACAAGAGCCTCAAAATTGGTCAAAAGTTAGGAACAAATTAATAACAGGCCGAGGTGGAGCTACTGAAAAATGCAAATTTGAACAACGTTTTATCTCAAAAACGAGGATTTCTAACCATATGTGGGCGCTTTTTCGGTGAATATTCAAACTTGTTGACAAATGAAAGTTGTCTCTCTCACTTTTGGTGGCAAATGAGGCCTGAACCCTCTTGATTTGACCGAATTATGCACCAAGCAAAATATGTCTTCTTCAATTTGTAATGATTGTGGCGTCAAAAAATGCAACAAATATGAACATTTTTCTTATCGAAAATAGTTCATTTGTTTCAAAAATGTAGCCCTGAGCCATTTTGAGGTTTAGTACTTGTCATTTTCGCAATGATTTAAAAGGTTTTTTAAAGGTTTCTTATGATTTCTTGTTGGTTTTAAGGTTAGATGAAACAAAACTTTTCAATGACGGGGAACAATGAAATAGTTGATGACGTGATCACCAGCCTTCCTTTAATTTAGGGCCCTTGACACGGATTTTGAGCCAAAGACCCACCAGGATTACATATAAAATGAAAAAATATCGGTTACCCTTTTTTACTAGATTGCTTAAGATTGAAATTGATTAAGACTGATATACATTTGAGAAAACTATAGTCGGGTCTGTTTCTGCGTCAATCCTGCATACATGCCAAATAAGAACTTAGCTCGAAACCTGCCGTATTTTGAAACCAATTTACACAATCTTACTAACTAAATGTGTAACATGTTGTTTTCTTGACTTTTTATCCCTGTTGTTATAGATTTTCAAATTTTATGTCGCAATTAATGAACGAAATGGTCAGTGGACTGCGGTGCTTTCACCTTATGTCTCGGTCCCCGTCATCTCATTCATGTTTATATGAATAAATGTGATCATTTTTACGATTATAAAAAGAGCCCTGTACAAATACAGTAAAAAGCGATCAGTTATCGAAACATTTTATAGAGACCAAGTCAATAACTTCTCCATTTTAAAAATGATTTGGAAAATAGCATAAACCTATCTTCGCGAAGAAAAGTTTCTTGATCACGTCATGGTGTGGGCATTACATTATTTTCAAGCCTGCAAACGTAAACGTATATCAACCCAATTTATTCCCAAATATTCTAAGTACGAGTTTTCAATATTTGACTATTCCAGACACTACTATTACTTACAAAAACAAATCAGACCACAAGTAGGCTTTCTTTCACAAGAATTTGCAAAGATATCAAAGATATTCACATCGAATTGAAACTGAATTATTTTTTGAATGCAATCTTCAATACCCGAATAGCTAATGAGATGTTTATAATTACGTCTTGGACTTTTGAAGATAGAAATCAGAGGAATCAGATGTTTTAGCCGGTTTTTGTTTTCGGCCTATGGCCCATGGCTTGAAGCCTACAAAGCCTTAATTTCACGAACCAATCATAAGGATGATAAGAGGACGATTGAAATTTGAAAATGAGGCTTTTGAAGTTACCGGCCATCGACCATGAGCAAAAAGGAGCTGTCTAGTTTCCATACTGCTCGACCTGATGACGGAATTAGTTTACCCTAAACCTAACCCTAACCCTAAACCTAACCCTAACCCTAACCCTAACCCTAACCCTAACCCTAACCCTAACCCTAACCCTAACCCTAGCCCTAAACCTAACCTTAATCCTTACCCTAACCCTAACCCTTTACTTGAATTAATACTAATTTATGACTTTTAATCATGCTTATTTATGACTATCAGGTCGGGCAGCATGGAAACTAGACAATTCCGGGCAAAAACGGCTGAAACATTCAATTTCTGTCTTGCTCTTTTATGAAAAACCTAGAATGTTTATTTCATTGATTATCGAATAGTGATATGGACCTACCTTTGCTCAAAGCATAGAAAATCCGACCGCGTTAGATTGCAGTTATCTAAATCCCGGTCAAATTGTGAAACTTGTTTGACCTGCATCAATGTCTTCTTGAATTGTATAGTCCTTGTGTGCTGTGCTTTTCATTTTGAAATATTTTTTTGTGTTGTAATTCAAGTACTTGTTCAAGCATGATGAACGGGCTTGTTTTCGGTTTTTTTTTGTAAATTTATGCTTTAAATAGACACAAACGCTATAACTAACCTTCGTTTTAATCCTTTGTTTTATTTGTTCGTTAAGATAATTTATTTGTTTTGTACTTAGTGGATTCAAAGTTGCCAAGAAATAGTTGTGTTTCGAAGAAAGTTGTTTTTTTGGTTTTATTTATTAATTAATTTAATTTTCCCCACCTACACATTCCGCTATTGATTTTGCTCCAGTTGATTTTGTTGATTGGCCAGACAGGCACTTCACACATTTGGTCGACTTTTCAGACGATTGGTACTCGCCAATTGGACACGGGCGACAACCGGGACCAAAGCCATCGCTAGAAAATGTGCCAGCTTTACAGTATACTGTGGAGATAAGAGTTATGTTTATAAAAGGAAAAATGTCATTCAGCCCAGGGACGTCGTATACATTTCAAATTAAAAAAGGTAGATGTAGTGGGAAGGATAAGCAGAAGAATTGTGCAAATTGTGGCACAAGCACCAACATTTCAGAAAACACCAAGTTTGATACGCAGAACAACATGTCTGGACCCAAATCATATCTGGTCCCTAAATTCTATTTTCAGCATGGGATACTCTGATCCACTACCCCCAGTTGTACCATTGGGCATAAGCGAAGAGCTCCTGGTCACAGAATGTTGACATTCACGGTTTAAAGGCAGTTTGCTAAGCCCATTAACATGTGATATAGACCCAAATGTCTGGTCCCTCAGTTCAATTTTTAAAACTGGAGTACTCTGGTCCAGACCCCTAATTGTACCATTGGGCAGAAAGTTAAAATTTATCACATGTTGCTTAGCGTATCAAACAAGGGCTATCGTGGCTCAAGGGACAGAGCCAAAATCCCCTGGAACCTATTCAAAACAGGAATATTTTACGGAGGCCATATCCTCCCCCGTCCTTAAATCGCTTGCTATTGTGTGTAAAACTCCTGATTTTAAAAAGGTATGCGAAGAAAATTACATAAAAAGCAATTGCTATTGATGACCTATTGGATAAAAAAGTTGGCTAGTTTATCCAATGGTACCTGTCTCTGTAGTCCAAAATCTGCATCTTTTTATTACCATCTCAAATAATGAAATTTTGCATCCAAAAATAGACTGAAAAAACGGTCAAAATTTAATGTATCATAGAGTTTGCTTACAGTACCTAGGCATTTCTTTGAGTAAGTTCCTAGAGTTCCTGAACCAGATGGACACCGCAGACAGCCTGGTAGGCCGCCAAAGGGTGCAAACGTATTTACTGGGCATCCCAAACAGTTCTCCATTGTTGTATTGTAATACATTCCAGAGGTGGCGGTGTCTAGCAAACAAAAGAGATAATTCAAAACTTGCAGTGGCTAGTGTTCTCTATTTCAAACGGCATATTGTTCATGTGCCTTGGGGGGGGGGGAGGGGGGCAACATGTAGTCAAAATAGAAGCAGTGCTGTCGAAAGGGAACACCTCCGTAAGCTGCAAGGAGGTAGGTTACCAGCTTTCTTGAAGTAGGGGGCACGTTCTGCCAGGGGTGCCCCCCTAGAAAACTAGGAAGGGAGTAAGGCTGTAGGCTAATTCAAGAAGCCACATCCATGACCACACCCTCACAACACTAAATATGCTTGCATTTGTGCTACAGACTTTTTGTGTATATAATTTATTAAAACTATTCGATTGCACTGACTGATAAGAAATTGCTTGTTCATGAGGAAGCTATAATATACTTAAGGATTGCCAACACAGAATTCGTCCAACCAAATATGAACTCACTTCTTAAGAGAGGCAGAGCCACTCCCCCATATCTCTCTGGATTTTAAAATTGGGGCTAAGCCCCCTTCAACAGCACTACTGCCTGTCCTGTGTGCCCCCAGATGACTACGTCTATGGTTATTCAACTTTCGTGTATCTCTATGATATGAATTGGTCCAGGATACTGAAGGTACTAAGCGTCCAAGAAAAGCTCCAACGCAGCAACCACAATATTACCACCCTGTCTTTCAACTTCTTCGACCTTTCTGTATTCATTGAGCATTACTAAAATTTTGGCAATATTTACCTGACTTTTAATAAACCTTCAGAACCTCTACGAAGATTTTATTAAAAAGTCAAAGCTAACGAAACTTTGATTTGTCATTTTGGATCAGAAGAAGATTTGCAGAGATTTTCATATTTCAAAGGATTTCTATCAGATTTTCGGATTTTTTTCCGGATTTTCAGAAGGGTGTACGGTATTTTTGGAAGTGAAATGCCCCTCGCCAAACGTACTAGTATATAGCCTCGTCTATATGTTATGCTCTGTTCTGTTTCATTAACCTCGTATTGACATGATTTAGTATAGAAGTGTTTATTGCCGATCATAGAGGGTTTATTTTATTACACTGTTTTAACTTGCGACACCCAGCGATATCTCGATAAAGATGACCCTAGCCAAAGCAGTAGGAAGTCCACTTTTCGACCCTTAAAAATGCGACGGAAACATGCTACAAGCATTCAGAGATTTTATTGACTCTTGGGAAATGTAGCCTGTGTTCCAGACCCCTAACTTGAAAGAAGAAGGTCTGTGTAACCGAGAGCAATATCGTGTACGAGCTTTTCCCAGGATCTCTGGGAAATTAATTATGCAAAAAATTATGCGGCAATCCCATGACAAAAGTGAACAACAGCGTGAACAGAGCGTAGTTTGCTGGGGCAGTTTACGCATTCAAATAGCGAAAAGAAATGTGTGCAAATTCAAAGTTTATCTTTATTTTGTCAGACAATGCCACAATAATGTCTGAAAGCATTGAATATATCATGATGCCTAGATAATTGTCGCCCGGCGCGAGGATGGAAACACTTCAAAAACCGGAGGATGAATTTTAATCAAAACACGCTTTGTGTTGATAACTCTTCTCTTATATGTTAATGAACGTTTAAAAACATTTTTTCAAATCAGAATTTGAAATTTCAAACAAGGAACTTAGAAGACGTGTTTATAACAAAGCAATCACTATCATGATGAAAAGAAATGATGGAAAGTACAAGGCATGGGCCTAGGCCTACCGACTCACATTGCCAAAAAAATAGTCCACTCAGTTAGGCAGCCTTGTCCGGATCAATGACAAATGTTTACTAGTCTTAAGCAATTTCCACTGTGTGTAAACTTGCGTTTATAACCAGAGATCATTCTCTACGGTATGAAGCCAAAGCGTCTTGTCTACTTTTCGGTTTCCATTACTTATCGCTACTTCGAAAGTCATGTTGTCCGTCATCGTATCCACCAGATCTTGTCTCAAAAAATCCTTCTTTACATTAAATTCGAGCCAAGGTAGAAAATAAACATCTTCTACCATGCAAAATCAAATGTCTACTCAAAGCAAATCGACTGGTTGCCATGTCAATTTTACTTCGATTGCTGCATGCGGTAGATTTACTCCCCATCAACTGCTGTAAAATGAGCAAGATTGGTCCAAATCCCCTTTAATCTGTTTTGGTCAGAACCAATGAAGTGTCCCAATGAAGATCTTCAACATCAAATAGCAGAGCAACATTTTCAAAACTTTTCTTCTAACAAATAAATCTATATCATACTGCCACGACCGATCAAAATATTAGCGCTTCTTCTTGCATGATTACACAGATCTTTGATAATTATGCAAAAAATTCAATTCAATCCCCGTACGCGATTTTGCTCTCGGTTACACAGACCCTCTACTTTCAAGTTAGGGGTCTGGAGCACAGGCTAGGGAAATGTGGTATGAAGTTGCAACAATGGGGGAACTGAAAGAGCATTCATCAGATGCCAATAGGAAGAAACACAAAGCAAAGGTATTTCGCCTGTGTGCATTCACAGGTGAACGATTCAAAGCTGAATACAACCAAGATATGGCCAAAATGAAAGCTGCTGATTTTGATGAAATGGTACAAAAATTACATGAAAGATACGGGCCATCTCAAAACCGGGCACTTTTGCATTATCAGTTCCATCAACTCAAACAGGAACCAAGTGAGAAATGGTGCTTTTATTGAGAAATTCTGTCAGCATGCTGATAAATGTGCATTCAATGGTGCAAATCACGTTACATATCACGTGACACACTTCTCCAAACCGCAAAGGGGGATTAATATTTTCCCTCAGTCGAGATTAACGAGCCCGTTGTGGCTGCCCATGATATATACCATCAAAAATTTCTTCTCCTTGGATTAAGGGTCGACCTACCATAACTTATGACTCTGCAGCTGCCCGAAGAGCACAGAAAGGGACCCCTTTGTCAGCTGGGACAGCACAGGTATTTAGATTGTTGCGATAAACAACTTTGTCTTCACACTCTACGGATCTTATGGTATAATTAATCTCCTTTTTTGAAATAATCTTAAAATGTCCGATCAAAGATTCCGGTATCTTTGGTCCGATCCATCTACCTCCAAACTTCCTTGGCTTAGAGCGACGTTGCTTATCGTAAAAAGTTTTCAGCCTGGATCTACTGGATGAGAGATTCTGTTGAGCTGAACGCTAATTGACTGCAGAGATTGACGAACTGACTGTGAATACTTAGACTGTCTTCATGGGAATGGGCAAGTTTAACTCAAGAAAAGGTATAGGAGCTTGGCGACCCAAAAGGGACAACCCAGTGGACTCATACGCACCAGTGTTATAGGCAAAAGCCTCCCCCATCTATCTGGATAGTTCCTGGATAGTTCGATTATGTCGCAGTTGTTATAGACTTGTGTGTCCCATTAACATACAAATTTCCTGCATCAAATGGCTTTCGATTTTGCGCTCTTGGTTGAAGTGGATGATGGTTGGTAGACCAAACTGACTGAAAACATGTGTAACTAAAAGTTCAGCAACCGTGTGAGCTTTCTGGTCTTTTGTAGGGAAAACATCACAAAGGGTTCCCTGATAACAAGTAAATGCTTGTTACCCCAGCTGGTCTCAGGCATAGGACCCATGAAGTCCATTGCCCAGGAAACAAAAGGCTCATTGACAGTGATATATCGGAGGGAGCAGGGTTTTTGGATGAATCTAATTTGTTTCCAGCACAATTTTTTGCAAGATTTGATAAAATCAAAATTTGATTTTTTGCCATAGGCCGGAAAAAGTTTGTACGCAAAAAAGAATGCTGTGTATGTCCTGCAGAACAGATTGAACCAAGGCAGATGGAACAATAAAATAATACTCTGGTAAAAGCCTCTCAGCAGTTAAACTTTTGACAAGAAGGCTATTGACAATGTGCAAGGAATCCCAATCGTGTCAAAATGTTTTTAATACATGGTCAAAAAAGAATGCTGTGTATGACCTGCAGAACAGAGATTGAACCAAGGCAGATGGAACAATAAAATAATACTCTGGTAAAAGCCTCTCAGCAGTTAAACTTTTGACAAGAAGGCTATTGACAATGTGCAAGGAATCCCAATCGTGTCAAAATGTTTTTAATACATGGTCATGAGATCAAGCGAATAAGGACGACTTAGCGTTGTCTGCAGATTTGAGGCCAATAATGATGCTTAAGCGAGAATCTTGATTTTGAGCTACTTAAGACTTATAAAGTGTGAGAAGGAAGAACCGCAGGATAGGCTGTCCGCCGGATTCTGTGAATCTTGCATGAGATTTAAAATGAAAGGTATACAGGAACAAAGCAATATGACGACGAGAATCCAATGTCACGAAATAAATTTTCAAAATAAATTAAATTTAAGAGTATACTAATATTTCGCCCCGGCATACAGGGCTTCATCAGAGTAAAAAAGGGTTATAGTTGCGGCACAATTGAGACAGGCTTTGTTGGCATGTTAACGTGAAAGTGCATCCGCATTTCCATTTTCAGGGCATGGCCTATGGTGTATCTAAAAAGTATATTTATGCAAGTCCATAATGAATTTAACAATCAACCTTTTGGCTTAATAGAGTGTACGGAGCACTATGCTCAGTAACCACAGTAAATTTCTTGCCTTAGAGATAAGGACGAAAATGATCAGTGGTGAAGCTTATTGCTTATGCTTCCTTTCTATTTGCAGAGTATTTCTGTTCACGGTCGAGGCACGTTGCGTTGCCATGACCCAAGTCTTTTTTTTGGAACTATGTACGTGGCTTCAGTTTAGCACGCCAACTAACGAAGATCCTCCTTAGTCGATGTTTCCATTTATTTACATCAAGACAAGGGTGAAACTTTGCCCGAGCTTATGCAGAGGTTTTATTCAAAAAGAACCATTTATAACCGCAGCCGTCTACCCATTGGAGATAAAAAAAACAACCATTTATAGTCGATAGAAGACACTACAGGAACCGTTGATAGAACCGGTTGGGTGCACAGGACAATCTCTTGTCAAACAGTAAGAACGGCACA